GCGCCGAACAACCCTTTGGGCGCCGATAACCAACAGAGCGCCGACAACGAAAGGGGCGCAGAAAACAACAGAAGCTCTGAAGACGGACAGGGCGCCGCAAACTAAAAGAGCGCAGGGGCGCCGAAAACTAAAAGGGCCTCACAAACCAAAGAGGCGCCGAAATCCAAAGGGCCGCCGAAAACCAACGATGCGCCGGAAACCAAGAGGTCGCCGAAAAACCAAAGGTGCGCCGATAACCACAAGAGCGTCGAAAATCAAAGAACGCCAAAAACCAAAGGCGCTCCGAAGGCCGAAAGGCGCCGGCCGACAACCCAACCCCATAACCACCACATCACGTTTGATATGTTCAAGGATTCTCTCTAAGGAGCCTGTTGCCTGACGGCCGTCGTCAGCTGCATGTGCCCCAAGAGACGCCCCTGGCAACTTGCGAAACATGCCACGGCCGAAGGCTGGGAGAAAAGCAGTATCATAAAACCAAAACATGTTTAATAAGTGCCCACAACTCTTTGGTACCAAACTGCCGCACACGAAATTGTCTGGAGTATTGTTCGAATCGCGCCATCGTGCGCATGCAACGGCGCAGTTTAATGAACGCGAGAACGCGTTACTGAAACACGCAAAGACAATTTTATGCAAGCGAAGAAGGGTTTCTAGAACGATATGTAAAACTGAAAACGTCGCGATTCGCAAATCGTCGCCGTGGGGGCGTGTCGACTAAGTCCACAAGCTTTCCGGAAAAACTGTGAAAATCATGCTGGTGGGTGTGGGGGTGGGTTGTCCTCTCTTGAAAAGGGGCGCCGAAAACCAAAGGGGCGCCGAATCCCCTTCAAAAAAACGCCGAACCTAAAGGCGCGCCGAAAACAAAAAAAGGCGCGGAAACCAAGAGGGCGCTGAAAACCAAAGGGGCGCCGAAACCAAAGAGGGCGCCGAAAACCAACGATGCGCCGAAAACTAAAAGAGCGCAGGGGCGCCGAAAACTAAAAGGGCCTCACAAACCAAAGAGGCGCCGAAATCCAAAGGGCCGCCGAAAACCAACGATGCGCCGGAAACCAAGAGGTCGCCGAAAAACCAAAGGTGCGCCGATAACCACAAGAGCGTCGAAAATCAAAGAACGCCAAAAACCAAAGGCGCTCCGAAGGCCGAAAGGCGCCGGCCGACAACCCAACCCCATACCCACCACATCACGTTTGATATGTTCAAGGATTCTCTCTAAGGAGCCTGTTGCCTGACGGCCGTCGTCAGCTGCATGTGCCCCAAGAGACGCCCCTGGCAACTTGCGAAACATGCCACGGCCGAAGGCTGGGAGAAAAGCAGTATCATAAAACCAAAACATGTTTAATAAGTGCCCACAACTCTTTGGTACCAAACTGCCGCACACGAAATTGTCTGGAGTATTGTTCGAATCGCGCCATCGTGCGCATGCAACGGCGCAGTTTAATGAACGCGAGAACGCGTTACTGAAACACGCAAAGACAATTTTATGCAAGCGAAGAAGGGTTTCTAGAACGATATGTAAAACTGAAAACGTCGCGATTCGCAAATCGTCGCCGTGGGGGCGTGTCGACTAAGTCCACAAGCTTTCCGGAAAAACTGTGAAAATCATGCTGGTGGGTGTGGGGGTGGGTTGTCCTCTCTTGAAAAGGGGCGCCGAATCCCCTTCAAAAAAACGCCGAACCTAAAGGCGCGCCGAAAACAAAAAAAGGCGCGGAAACCAAGAGGGCGCTGAAAACCAAAGGGGCGCCGAAACCAAAGAGGGCGCCGAAAACCAACGATGCGCCGAAAACCAAAGGGTGCGCAGAAGACCAAAAAAGAGTCGCCGAAAACCACAGGAGCGCCGAAAACCACAGGAGCGCCGAACACCGCAGGAGCGCCGAAAACCGCAGGGGCGCCGAAAACCAAAGGGGCGCAAAAGGCCAACGGGGCGCCGAAAACCAAAGAGGCGCCGAAAACCAAAGAGACGGCGGCAACCACAAGTGCGCCGACCGAAACCCAACGGCGCGCCGAAAGCCAAAAGAGAAAAGCAGCTTCGAAACCCCTCTTCGGCCAGGGCCCGCCAGCTGGAAGAGCAAATAGAAGGAGGGGAGGGGGGGGTAGCTTCGGAAGCCCCCCGTCCCTCCCTTTGGACACGGGAGCCTGGGTTTACCCTGGGCCCCGAAAAAGAAGGAAGGGGGGGGTGTAGCTTCCAAGCCCCCCCCCCTTTAGCCAGGGAGACCCCCCAGCTACAAAATCTAACAGAAGGAGGGCGGGGGGTAGCTTCGGAAGCCTCCTGCTATTTCGTGTTATTTGGCCACAGGCTAGAGACCAGCGCTAGCTTTAAGTCGGGCCTGTCCCTCTACAGGAGGAATATTCAAAAATAGTTTAAAAATAGTCTGGGGACGATCTTTTGAATTATTTTTGGCCATTTTGGCATATGTTTTGGGGACATGCCCGACTTAACGCTAGCTCCCAAACACTCGCGGCGACGAGCGGGGCCGACCAAGGGTCCCGAAAACAAAGGCGAAAGCGAGGGCCAAGCCCCCCCCCCATTTTTTGATGGGCAACGATTGGGGGGGACTGGCATAGGGGGGATGCATCGACCCCGAATCCGCGATGCATCGCCGATAGATCGGTGATAGGCCCCCGATAGTGAACCCGCGCCTTCCTGTGCAGGTCGGGGCCATCGGGCCCCTATCGGCCATCAATGGGATGATTCGGGGTCGATGCATCCCCCCCCTATGCCTATCCCTCCCCCCCATCGTTGCCCCTGATTCTTCCAAGGCAGGGGCGGGCAGCTTGAAGCTGGAGCCTCCCTCCTCGTGAGAAGTGTGGGCCACGGGCGCGCTCTGTCCAGACGTGGTGCGATGCCCAGACCTTCAAAAGAAGTCCCGACCCCTTTCCTCCTCCTTTTCCTCCTCCCTCCTCCTCCTCCTCCTCCTCCTCCTCCTCCTCCTCCTCCCTCCTCCTCCTCCTCCTCCTCCACCTCCACTTCCTCCTCCTCCTCCTCCTCCTCCTCCTCCTCCTCCTCCTCCTCCTCCTCCTCTCCTCCCCCTCCCCTCCTCCTCCTCCTCCTCTTCTCCTCCTCCTCCTCCTCCTCCTCCTCCTCCTCCTCCTCCTCCTCCTCCCCCTCCTCCACTTCCTCCTCCTCCTCCTCCTCCTCCTCCTCCTCCTCCTCCTCCTCCTCCTCCTCCTCCTCCTCCCCCTCCCCCTCCTCCTCCTCCTCCTCCTCTCCTCCTCCTCCTCCTCCCCTCCCTCCTCCTCCTCCTCCTCCTCCTCCTCCTCCTCCTCAGGGTGTCGCCCCGAGGGCCGCTCTTCGTGGACGGCTCCGGGGCCCGGCGAGGACCCCAGGAGGCCGAGAGTGGCCAGCAGCCGCCCGCCGTGGCCTTTTTTCCACGGCGCGGGCACGTCTGAGTTTTTGTTGAACGTTGCGTCAGGGGGGGCCCCAGTTCGGGGGCGACGGCGCGTGCACCCGTTAGTGCCCCTCGTGGGCCCAAGGAGGGCCCCCTCGTGGCCCCCGAGGCGCAGGGCAGGCGCACCTTTCTTCCCCCCCCCTTTCTATGATCGGCCCCCTCAGCAGCCGGCGGCGAGCGAGGGGGGGGGGGAAGTGAAGAGGAGAAGGTCTTCCTCAGAAGTCGGCGGGACTTCTCAGCAGCCCTCGCGCACTCTGCAAAGCGCTCTGAGGGGGTGCGGGGATGGGTCCAAGCGCCAGCGCAGAAGCCGCCCACGGACGTCGGGGGTTGTTAGCCTTCCGGCGCCCTCCCCTCCCCCCCCCACTTGATCCCACCCCCCCCGTTTGCGCAATGCCCGCGTCTTTAGTGCTGGGCCTGCTTTCCACCGCCATCACCACCACAAGCTGGAGGGGGAGGGCGTCCTCCTACTCCTCCTCCTCGTCCTCGTCCTCCACTTCCTCCCCCCCTCCAATTGGTGGTGGTGGTGGTGGTGGAAGACAGGCCCAGCAGGGTGTGCGGGGGGATGGGGCCGAGCGCCAACGCAGAAGCCGCCCACGGACGGCCGAGAGTGGTGGCATTCCGGCGCCCTCCCCTCCCCCCCAATTGATCACCGGACCAGGAAACAAACAACACCACCCCACCTGTGGCCCCACGGGCAGTAGCGTATACCAGGACATCTGGCGTGAGCTTTTGCACGGTATACGCTACGACCCCCGATGGGCCGTAGCGCAACATGGAGGGCCGTAGGTGGGGTGGTGTCGTTTGTTTTTTGGCCGAATCCCCCCCCCGTTTGCGCAGCGCCCGTGTCTTTAAGGGAACAAGCCATGACAGAAACACATAAAACTTGGAGGCCCGCGCGGAGTTCTCGGACCCCCCTCCCTGTCGCGCGGAGCGGGCATGGGGCGGCGATGGAGGCGCCGCCAGGGGGCCCCAGCGCCGATCTGAGGAACGTGCGCGGACCTCCGAGCTTTGATGTTGATGACGTTGCTTGCTCCGGCGACGACGATAGGGGCGCATAGCCCAGGGGCGGGCATTACATGTATTCTCCCAGGAACCTTTTCGAAGACATAGATCATCAGCACCCCTGGATACATGTGTTGCTCCCCCCTGGCCTGTTCGCCCCTATCGTCGCCTCCGATCCCAGACCCCCGGCGTCGTGATTGTTTTACAACGTCGACCCACAGAGGTCTGCACCCCTTCCCCGGGACGGGCTTTTCCATCCCGAGTCGTTTCCTGACGGCCCCGAAGCCCGGTGAGGGCCCCTATTGAGGCCGAAAGCGGCCAAAGACCTCCCGTCGTGACTCTTTTTCGCAGCGCGCGGGGGTCTGGGATCCCTGCGTGCTGCCCTCTCTCGACTCCTCCGGCGTCCCGGCCCGTCCATCGCCGGCTACACGCAAAAGTGACCCTGGGTAAGAGTGACCTTTGGTGCGCGGCTTTTGGGGGCCCCGGGGGGACCAAACCTGGGCGCTCAAGCCGCTGCTCCTGCTTCGCTTTCGGCCGCCTGGGGGCCCATCTTTGCCCGCGCCAGAGGTCACTCCGGCGACAGGTCACTCTTACGTCTAGTCGACCCTCTCTCGACTCCTCCGGCGTCCCAGCCCGTCCCTCGGCGCGCCGCTGCCACCGCCGCAGCAGCTCCCCGCCGGCGGCCTGCACCGCCCGCAGCGTGCCGCCCGCGCGGTGCACGCGGAGCTGCGCGGGCCGCGCGCCGACGTCTCGCACCTCTGGGAGGGTCCGCGAATACACGTCTGCCCTTGAGGAGGAGGAGAAGGAGGAGGAGGAGGGGGAGGAGGAGGAGGAGGAGGAGGAGGAGGAGGAGGAGGGGGAGGAGGCGCGAAGCACTTCTGCCCAGACATGATCGCGTCGAACAAAAATCAGGACGAGACGGGATCATGGAGCCGCGCTCAGAGCACGAGCCCGGGAAGAGCCACGCGGATGGCGAGGAAGAACACCCGGGGCCTCACGCACGGCGGCGCGCCGACCTCGCGCGGCGTCGCCGCGCGGGAGCGGGAGGCGCTCTTGCCTCCGCGCGCGCTCTGGAGGACAGCGCCGGCGCCAGACCTACTCGATCCCCGCACCCCGCGGGCGGCTCGGGCGTTGCTTCCCGGGGGGGCGACCCTGCCCCCACCAACCGCCGATTCTCCGGAATCGACGCGGGAGGCAGGGGTGGGGCTCGGATTTCGCCACGCGCTCGCCGAATTCCGCACCATACCCCCGCCGCTCATCGAGCTGCCTGAATCGTTGACTTCTCCTCCTCTTCCTTCTCCTCCTCCTCCTCCTCCTCCTGCTCCTCCTCCTCCTCCTCCTCCTCCTCCTCCTCATCATCCCCTCCTCCTCCTCCTCCTCCTCCTCCTGCTCCTCCTCCTCCTCCTCCTCCTCCTCCTCCTCCTCCTCCCTCCTCCTCCTCCTCCTCCTCCTCCTCCTCCTCCGCCTCCTCGAGGCGGGGGTGAGGGTCGGACTTCTCCGCCGACCCATGGGGGGGGGGGGAGGGGCGAAGAGCGGTGCACATGCCGTGCGCCTCTGGGGCCCCGGAGGACCCCTTCAGGGTGAGGTCGGGCCTGTCCCCCTAGGCGGAGTTGGACGAACAGTTAAAAAATACCCCCAAATACTCCAAAATGGTCAAACAACAATCAACAAATCGTCCCCAGACTATCTGTTTTTACTACTTTTGAGCCCTCCTCCTGTAGAGGGACAGGCCCGACTCAAGGGAAGGGGTGCGGGGATGGAGCTGGGCGTCAGCACAAAAGCTGCCCGCGCACGTCCGAGAGTGCATGCCTGCCTGCTCCTGCTTTCTCCCGGCTCCCCGGGCGCCAGCGCCAGCGAGACGCCGAGCTGCTCTTCGCAGCCCCGCGAGCAGCGGAAGATGCCCAGGTGCACCGAGGGGCTCCTGAGGGACGGGGAGGCACGGATGCGGTGAAGACGTTGGAGGAGGAACACTCGGATCAGGAGTCCAGGGTCATGGACTGGCCACGGACCAGGAACTCCAATCGTGGGCTGGCCGTGGATATCATCGCCGCCCGTGTCAGAGAAGGGGTCCGCCTGGGCCTGAAGCCTCCCGGGCACGCTCCTTCACCAACCGCCCCCCACCGCACCACTGCTCTCCGAACCTCTCTCTTAGGGTGCGTTCCGACCAGAATCCCACCAACCCTTCAGAACGTAGGTAGTTTAGGGCTTTCCCTCTTCCAACCCGGCCCCCAGGAGGCCCCACGAGGCCTCCAGGAGACTCGGAGAGAACTCCCAAGAGATGCCGAAGGGCATCCAAGAACCCTCTGGTTCACGGAGGTTGCCCGAGCTCTCCAAACGATTCCGCGCTCCCCTGCTGAGGGCAGCTCCCCTGGGCATCGCTCCTGGATGGGTTGGTGGGGGTACGCGAAGCGTTCAACGTTCGAGGACACGAGGACTCCCCAGGACAGGCGGCGGTATTAGAGGCCTCCTCGAGTAGATAAGGTCGGAGAGCCGCGCCGCAACGCCGACGCATCGGCGACGCCGGGGGTGTATCGGCGACGCCGGCGCGGAGAAAATTGGGTTCCACATCGAGCCGCATCGCCGATGCATCGGCGATGCGGCGCTATCCTCAGCCCCATCTACTCGGACCCCATCTGGGCGGTCTAGACTACCGGCACCCTTTCCACCACAACAGCCGCAGCCGTAGCCACAGCAACCACAAGAGCACTACAACGGCCGCAAGTGCGCCACCGCAACAGCCGCAACAGCACCACAACAGCCGAGGCTGCCCCCCCGAGCTCCACCACAGCAGCCGCAGCTGCGCCCTGGCCTCGCCGGCGGCGCCCCAGTCAGCTGCCAGCGCGCTCCGTGCGGCCTGCGCCAGCTCCTCCTCGCTGACGGAACCGGCCCGCGGCGCCCGGTCGAAGATGACCTCGAAGAGGAGGTAGCGCCGCTTCAGCACCACCATGGCTGGCTCCAGAGGGGCAAACAGCGGCACAAAGGCATGATTGCTCGGAGGCTCGCGCGGACCTCAGAAGTTACGTCTATTTGAGCCGTTTTCTGCTCGTCGACTCTCGCTGGGGGGCGCCAACTTCGGTTGTATACCCCAGGGTGCCCCAGAGCTTCTGTGGATCCCTGGGGCCATTGGGCCATTGCGGGATAAGAGACGTCCGTGGGGCACCTCCTGGCAGGCTGAATTCTGCTGTGACGCGCCCCTGCTGTATGCACCTGCCCTGGTCCTGGCCAGGCTAATCATCAGGTGCACGCGGCCGACCCTGGAAACCTTGGGGTGCGCCAGCGTTGACCTCTCCAGGGGGATATGCCCCTTCGCGGACGAAGAACGGCACAACATACCTCATATCTGCTTCCGCCACCCAGGACGCCTGTCCCAGAACGGCTGGAAAGTCGATACCCCTACGGCGGCACGCGGGGGTGGGAACTCCCGGGCCGTCCTGGTACAGGCGGCCCCCATGGGGGGGAACAGCCATCTCTATCGTAGACCGTGCTTCGTCCGCTGAGCCTCCACTTCCAACAGCGTCTGCCAGACATCTGCCGGCAGCACCGCCCTCGCTGTACGCTTAGGTCGGGCATGTCCTCCTACAGGCAGATTTTGGGCGAAAAATTAAACATATTCAAAACATACTCAAAACATAAACCAAATAATAAACAAATCGTCCCCTGGATATTTTTTGGCGACTATTTTTAGATGTTCCTCCTGTAGAGGGACAGGCCCGATTTAATTGTACGCCCGCCGCCCTCCGTTCCGCGGGCCTTTCACCGCTGACCTCTCGGGGAATCCGGACTCTTCGGTGGCAACTCACGGGATCATCATGCCATCTTGCTGGCTCTTGCGAATCGGCGCTAGCAGGCGCTGGTCGACGCCAATCGGCGCCAGATCGGCGCGTACCATCGATTAACAGACGCTAGCGCACGCCAGTGCAATGAAGAGACGGAATCACGAAGGCATACACGTCGGTCGGAAGAAGTAGGTAGAAACATGAAGTAGGAAGGCGGATTGAGTTGATTGGGTCCAGGTCCTCCCAGAGAATAACAAAACACAGCAAAAGCATGCCGAGTCTCGAAGTAGGAAGGCGCCTGAAGTAGATTGGGATCTGGGACTCCCAAAATACCCACTTTCAACGACCGGCGTGCACGGGGCTCACGGACTCCCCAACTTCTGCCCCGCTTCTGGCGGCACGCCGCCCTCGTTGTGCAGCCGCCGGCCTCCCCTCCGCGGGGACCTCCCGCGGTCCCTGCGCCGCGGGGCGCGAGAGGCCACCCCCTCGCTTCCTGGACGAGGGACGCCCCCTCGGTCTAGAACGCCCTGCTGGTGCGCGCGGGGAGACGTCCTCCGCGCCAGCGGCACTCGGCGAGGCGAATGCTTCCAGACTCCAGCCCCTCCTGGGTTCCCGGACGGGTCCTGAGGGAAACGGGTCCTGAAGGGGACGGGCCCTGGGTACGGGGGCCTTCCCTTTGTCGTGACGACCAGGCCTGGCACCTCCTCCTCCTCCTCCTCTTCCTCCACCTCCTCCTCCTCCTCCTCCTCCTCCTCTCTCCTCCTCCTCCTCCTCCTCCTCCTCCCCCCTCTCCTCCTCCTCCTCCTTCTCCTCCTCCCCATCCTCCTTCTCTTCCTCCTCATCTCCTCCTCCTCCTCCTCCTCCCCCCTCCTCCTGGCTCCTGCTGGCGCGCTCCCCCGCAACGCCGAAGCCAGCACCCAGAAGGCAACGGAGCTCGGCCAGAGGGTCCACCAGCGCCCAGGTGGAGAGCTGGCGCTCCCCGACTTTCGGGTGGGGTGGCCCCGGCTCTACGTACGGAGGCCTCCCGAATGCGGTCCGAGCAGATGGGGTCGAGGGATCGCGCCGCATCGCCGATGCATCGGCGCCGTCTGCGCGGGGAAATTCGGGCTCCACATCGAGCCGCATTGCTGAAGCATCGGCGATGCGGCGCAATTCGCTGGCCCCACCTACTCGGGCCCCACTTGCCAGGCCTGGTAAGGGTGAGAAGGAATGCGGAGGACGACGACGATGACGATGACGACGACGACGACGACGACGACGACGACGACGACGACGACGACGACGACGACGACGACGACGACGACGACGACGACGACGACGGAGGACAGTAAGAGGCACTTGCAGAAGGAGGCTCCTGGCGCCGCGCGGGGTTCTTTTGGGGCCTGTTGTGCCCTCGGACAGGGCGCCCTTGGCTGCGCTGCCCTGTCTGGGGAGGGGAGGGGCCCCAGAGGCACCCCCTCCGGAGACCCGCGGGTGCCCTGGGGAGCGCATGGCCCAGCGCCAAGGATACGAGAACGACAGCTGCCGGATGGGGCTCGTTGCCATGCCAAAGGTGGCAGCGGATTGCGAGGTCTTGAACCAGGCCCAGGACTTCCGAGCGACTCCGTCCCGATGTTCTCTAGTGGCTATTTGTTCTTCCTCTTCCTCTCCATGTTTACGTTCCTCCAGGTTCTAGCTTTCGGTCAGTTGTTCCTGATGTGCAACTCGTGGGGGCGAGAACGACAGCTGCATCAACATCAGCTTTCGGACGTCCGCGCGGACTTCCTGGACCGGCGCTGGAGCGCCCCACCCCGTCGCGCGGGGGCGCGCCCAGGGTGGCACCCGGGCGCCGCGGCGGGGGGGGGCCGGGGCGCTTCGAAAACGAGGGGGATCGCCAGGGGGCGGCCCCTCCTCCTCCTCCTCCTCCTCCTCCTCCTCCTCCTCCTCCTCCCGGAATCGGCGACGCATCCCAGATGAATGGGCAGCAGGCCTCCCACGACTGATCCGCACGCTCCCGGGCGGGGTGGGCCGTCGGGGGCTGTCGGGTCCCTGTCGGCGATGAGCTGGCGATGGGGGGGTCGATGCGCCCCCCATCCCCCCGCCGAGCCTATCCCCATCCCTGCCTGGTGGCTTTCGGCCAACACCTTGGGCCTCCCGCGCCCACGCTGGACGATCCCGGCCCCCCCGGAGCGCTCCACGCGAGGCGCAGCTGCTGGAGAAGAGCGCCCCGAGGCTGGAACACGGCCGCGAGCCGAGGAACAACCCGCGACAAACCTCGAACATCGAGCACCCGAAGCGCCCCCCCCTGAGCACATCCCCCCTGAGCCCATCCCCCCTGACCAGTGGGATCCTCGCTCGGGCGTTGCTAAAGGAGGGGGAGGAGGAGGAGGAGGAGGAGGAGGAGGAGGAGGAGGAGGAGGAGGAGGAGGAGGAGGAGGAGGAGGAAGGAGGAGGAGGAGCAGAAGGAGGAGGAGGAGGAGGGCGGAAAGGGAGGAGGAGGGGAAATGAGGAGGGAGGAGGAGGAGGAGGGGAAAGAGGAGGAGGAGGGAGGAGGAGAAGGAGGAGGAGGAGGAGGAGGAGGAGGAGGAGGAGGTGGGGTGCGATGAATGGAAGGGGGGGGGGGGAACGTGCATCTTTCGTGGCCCTCCTGGGCCCCAGGAAGGCAGTTCTGGGGAAACCAAAAGGTACTGATACCGCTGCTCCCTGGACATCTCCCAGGGTGCGCTCTGACCAGGAGTTCAAGGCGAACGCAGCAGTAGCGACGAGGCGACGAGGGCCTCTCAGCAGGCCCAAGAAGAAAGGGTAGAGGTATGGGTACCTTCTCCTCCACTGAAGTTCGGGGCACAGAAGGTGCACCTGTCTCCACCCCTCCGTCCATCGCCCCCCCAGTACGCAACGCTCAGGTCGGGCGTGCCCCCCTACAGGGGGATTTTGGGCGAAACTAAAAGATACATTAAAAAGAATCAAAGAAGAATCAGAAGTCGTAACCCGACGATTTCTAGACTGTTCTTGAAGATTCCTCGTGTAGAGGGACAGGCCCGACTCAACGCAACGCCCGAGACGAGCTTCGAAGTAGGGCACCCCGGCTCTGCGTCGCTGGTGGCCCCTCGCACGGGCGGTCCGCAGGCGCGCCCCTCCCCCCGGGGCTGGCGCGCCGGGAGCCACGCCGCCGCTGCGAGTGCGCGGGGGGGGAGCCCTTGCGGGGGAGAGGCCGGTGCGCGGAGGGGCGGAGGAGGAGGAGGAGGCAGGGCGAGGAGAGAGGGGGAGGAGGAGAGTGCAAGTACCACAGGCGTCGGGATGATCATGACGACGACGACGACGGCGAGGAGGAGGAGGAGGAGGAGGAGTCCCAGGAAGAGCATGCAAGGAGCGAAGGATGAGTCTGAGAGGCAGGGCACGACGTTTAAGAGAAAGGAGGGGGCGCAGAAGGAAGAGGAGAACCGTTATGGGGAACGAAGGATGAGGTGAAGAAGTAGGGCAAGGACCAAGACAGGGGGGATGATGATGAGGAGGAGGAAGGGAAAGAGGGGGAGGAGGAGAAAGAGGAGGAGGAGGAGGAGTGTTCCTCCTCTTGCACTTTCTCCTCATCCTCTTTCTCCTTCCTCCTCCTCGGCCGACGACGACGAGAAACGACGTCCGCGCCACTGCTGGGGCCGCCAGAGGCCGCGAGAATTCGCTGGAGACCGCCTACAATCAACATGTGTGCCATGAGGAATATTACATGCTTGCTTGCGCGAGCACCAAATAATACTTCCGTGCACTCTGGGTATGTACTTTATACGTTGCACAAGCTATGTCGTGCAACCTACGTGCCGCAACCCATGAGGCACAAGTAGGTACAATTGAACGTTGGAACCCCCAGCAAACATCCCACCCACCCGCCCACATTATGTTGGCAATCAGCTGGCACAATCACAAGAGGAGCCTGCCCATGCAGGTCCATGGTTCGGTTGTGCGAGTGATGATAGGAAAGACGACATCGGCGACGGCGGCGATTATGCTTGTGGCGCTGATGACGAGGGAAACGACAACAACAATGACGAAGCTGATAATGATGATGCTGATGATGCTGATGGTGATGGTAATGATGATGACGACGGCGCTCATGATGAGACAGCGGTGGTGATGACGATTGCGACGACTGTAAGAGTGATCAAGATGGTGTTGATGATGACGATGGCAATGAACACCTTGATGGTGATGTTGGCGATGAAGCTAACGAGCATGATGAGGAAGTGCGCGCGCGCAGAATCTCTGACAACACTGACAAACCATTGGCTCCTTAAATGTTTTTTTGACGCGGACCGCCAGTGATCAAGTTCCCACCTGCCCTTCACCGTGCAGTGCAGAGGCCCTGGCACTAGCGTGCGCACTGCGCACAGAAGCAGAATGCACATGTTGGAATCCACAACTCCTGGAACAAAAAAACATACGGATCTGGACTGTAGATGCCTGCGCCCACTTTGTTGAATTGCGTAGAAGACATATGTTCCCCAGCGTGGACTCGATCACTGATGTCTTACAATGTGCGCGGTGCAATCCAGCTGGTGAAATCAAGGTGGTGAAATCTAAGTGGTGCAATTCACTTGCTCAACTGAAGCTGTCCTCCCCACTGCTCGTGCAAACATCCCACCCTCCCACCCGCATCTTGGTCGCAAGACCTCTAAAGACCGTGACGGTGGGTACCACATGGCACTTGGCAGCGACATCGAGGCGACGACGACAGCGACAACGACGACGACGACGCCGACAACGACTACGACGACGCCGGCGACGTCTCCAACGATTTCGACGACGACGACAACAACGACGACGACGACGACGACAACACGGACGACGACGACGACGACGACGACGACGACGACGGCGACGACGAACACGACGACGACGACGTCGCCAACGAAGACGATGACGACGACGAGGGAGGGAGGACGACCAAGATGACGACGACGACGAAGAAAGACACATGACGACGACGGCGACGACGACGACGACGAGGGAGAAGGGATGAAGGCGACGACGACGACGACGACGCAAAAGCGCGCACGCACGCTTTTGTTGAAAATCCGTGTTGCGAAACCTTGTATGTTTGTATGTTTTTTGGACACACGATTTTGAATTCTTTCCGAAACCAGCGGTTGTTGAAGGATTTCGGCATGCGCCCGCGACGACGCGCGCGTCTACACTCTGTCTAATTTGTTGCAGAGGATTCTCGCGACGACGCGCCCGCAAGGGCGTTCGAAAGATTCCGACATGCGCGCGCGAAGCCCGTTTGGAGGTATTTTGTGCAAGCCTTGAGAAACCAATGGTTTTCTTCAGATTTCGCAAGTTCGCGCGCGTAAGCATTTTTAGAACATCAGTGTTGCGAAACGATTGTTTGGGAATTCGATTTTGAAATGTCTCTGAAACCGAAGGTTCTTGAAGGATTTCGGCATGCGCGCGCGACGAAACGCGCGTCCGCATTTCGCCAAATTTGTTGCAGAAGATTCTCGCGACGACACTGGCGCAACGGCGTTCGGCATGTGCGCGCGAAGCCCGTTTGGTAGTATGTTTTACAAACCTTGAGGAACCCATGTTTTTATTTTTCCTTGAAAAAATAGCAAAAGCGCGCGTAAACATTTTTAGGACATCGGTGTTGCAAAACGAAATAGTTGTTTAAGATTTCTGTGGGAACTCAATGTTCAAATCCTTCCGAAACCGAAGGTTCTTGAAAGATTTCGGTATGCGCGCGCGACGACGCGCGCGTGCGCATGTTGTCCCATTTGTTGCAAGGGATTCTTGGAAACTGATGATTTCTGATAAACAAGAGCGCTCGCATGATATTCGTTGCAGGGGATGGCGGGGGAGAGTGATACCAGCCTGGCTGGGATAGTACGAATTCATATTTCGGATGGACGATGGGGCAGAATCATAAGTACACTGCAATACAAGAAGGTGGCGCGTAAACCCCGGGGCAGTGGAGTCCATTCTTCTTTTAGAGACGAGAATTCACGTGGTGTAATCCATGTGGTCAAAGCAACGCAAGACAACACACGCGATGCAAACCAGTGCAAAGAGATGCTAAGCAATGCAAAGTAATCCGAACCAAAACAAAGCAACGCAATGCAATTCAAGGCAATACGAAACAATGCAACGCAATACAGAGCAAGGTGAAGCAATGCGCAGCAATGCGAATCAACGCAATGAGAAGGCATGCCACGCAGCGCAAAACGATGCAAAACAATGCAATGCCATTGCAATTCAGTGCAAAGAAACTCAATGCAAAGCAGTGCAAAGCAATGAACCGCAAGGTAAACCAATGCAGGGCGCTGCGCTGCAAACCGACGCAAGGGAATGCAAAGCACCGCAGCAACGCAAAACGATGCAAAACAATGCAAATCAACGCAAAGCAATGCGAAGCAATGCAAAGCAATGCAAAGCAACGCAAAGCAACGCAAAGCAACGCGAAGAAATCCGAACGCAATGTGAAACAATCCGCCGGCGACTGCGGCGACTGCGGCGACTGGCGGCGAGGAGATGGCTGGACCGGCGCTGGGCCCAACTACCAGCAGCAATGGCGGCAGCGACGGGCTGCGACGGGCCGGCTGGACGGGCACTGGAGCTCAGCTACTTTACAAGACAAGTCAGAACCCTTTAGTGCAAACACTGTTTGAGCAATATGGCTTTGCAATGATTTCGACATGCGCGCGCGGAAACGCGCGCGTGTGGCCAGCATTGTTTAGTCGACAGGGGGTGGGCAGGCGCGCGATGCACGTCGAACCCTTTGAACACACGATGGCGCGTGGCCCAAGTGGTCCCACTCTTAACAGCATGGCAGAGCAACACACATGGCTATCTCATGTTTTCAGCGGGTGCGCGCGCACTGCAAACTGGCATTCGTGGAAGGGAAACACTTGCACGGTTTCCCCCGGGGCCGTAGGCGACCCGAGGAGGAGAGGGAAAAGGAGGAGGAGGAGGAAGAGGGGGAGGAGGAGGGGGAGGGGGGAGGAGGAGGAGGGGGACTCTGCTGGACTCGGCTGAGCGCCGCGCAACCGGCCGATCAATCACTATCACCGCTGTCCTCCGCTGCCGCTGCCCGCTGCTGCGAAACGCCGCCACCGCTGCCGCAGGCGCTCGACACGCGGAGCCGAGCAGCTACCTCCTTCAAGGCAGCGGCGGGGCAGACGGGGCGGCAGCAACACGGCACGACGCCTCCTCGGCGTCAGCGCACGTCAGGTTCGCAGTCTCGCACGGATGGCGGGCCAACGAGACCCTCCAATACTCGTCGAGTGGGTCGGGCGCCTCCCCCGCTGGCCCCCGAGCAGGCGCTCCTTCCACCTGAGCTCCAGGAGTGGGGAGCGCGCGGCTCACAGCGTCCACTGCAATCGCCGCCACCACGGACGCTGGTGGACCACGATAGCTAGGAAACAAACCTCGCTGAATTCTCTTAAGATTCCCCCCCCCCTTTGCGAGGCGGGGGGGGTACACGTGCCAGCAAGATTCCTCGCATCAGCAGTGGCTGTGCGTCCACACGTCGTGCAAAAGAACAGCCCGTAGGCCTTCATCTTGGCGAAACGGCGGCTGAGATGCAGGAGCACCCCGCCGACGCACGCCTCCCCCGAGATCGCCTCGAAACCCTCGCCATACTGAGGAGGTACCCCCAGCGTCTCATCCGATTCCAGCGGCGCGGCGAGGGGCGGATCACGACAAAGGGTCGAAGCGAATTTGAACAGCCTGCTCCCCAGAACAGGATCCTTACACTGCCTGCACCTCCAGCGAGCAGCAAACGGCACAAAATCGTGAGAGCTAGCATTCAGAGCCTCCTCCAAACGGGTTGGCTTACGCGGCTGCTTGACGCTAGGTGATCTCTCGCCGATCCACGTTTCAACCTCGAGCGCCATAAGCAACGCGCGCCGGCGGGGGCCCAGAGCGCATTCTCACGTAGACTCCCAGTGTTGATGGGCCTGCTTTCCACCACCACCACCATAAGTTGGACGGGGAGGGGGCCCTCCTCCTCCTCCTCCTCCTCCTCCTCCTCCTCACTCACTCACTCACTCACTCACTCACTCACTCACTCACTCACTCACTCACTCACTCACTCACTACTCACTCACTCACTCACTCACTCACTCACTCACTCACTCACTCACTCACTCAGCAGGGGGACGAAGAAACCCTCAGTACAAGCTGTTGGGCGTTGCGGCAACGCGCGCGGCGG